TACTTTTATATATTTACTATTTTTCTGAATATATTAATAATTCCAAAAGCAAGCATAAAATTGCATACAGTCAAAGTGTCCCACTAAGTGTCTTCCATATACCTAGATACTCCCTACTCCTCCAAACTACTCCTGGATTTTCTACATATTCTTCCAGAGTTGCACGATATATTTGTTTATAAACACATTTTCCTACACAAAAACTAGAAAAGGTGGTTTCCATTTTTTTAACCTCATAAGACTGCAATTTGTTTTTCTGATTATAGCTTCTTAAGATAAACTATTCCATCACAGGATTCAACAGGGCTGCTCAATATTAAAACTGCACAGAGATGTTGAATAGTAAAACTATTCTTGAATACTCTGTCCTTACTGTCAGTTTTCTTTTCCTTTATTAGATTCTTAATAATCCTACTATTGTTTGACATCCTTTCAGCAACTGAAACTTGACTACTACTTGAAACAATTCCTTCACAGGCTCCCATAATATAATACAATACACTCCTGCTTTTCCTCTCTCCTTGACAGTTCCTATTGTACCCATTTTCTAAAATTAGGTAATCTATAGTACCTGTTCTAAATTCAGTATCTTTCTTTTGTTAGGATGGCCTTAAGTACTACTAGGGTTTCAAGTACATTTTTATAGAATTTTTTTAATTTTACAGGAGAACTTTTAAGTTCATATTTCAATAAATGAGACAGAATTGACAGTTTAAACATATTAATTTACTTGTTTATGAGGTTCAGATTAGACTATAAGTAGTCTAACAATAAATAGGATGTAGAACAGTTTCTGGAATACAACAGGTGCCCAATCAATTTATTGAATTTATTAATCACAGCCTGAGGCCATAAGAAAAGAACATAAATAGCTGCTTTCAAGTACAATGATAAGCAAAGGAAAAGAAAATTTATTTTTCTGTGTTCAGATAATTTCAAGTGATTTACCAATAACACTATGAAGATTACCTTCTGTGGGTAGTTGTATGAGGTAACTTTGTCTTGAGATATAGAACATGGTCTTCTGTCCTGAAGAGACTTTAATGAATACAGAAATATAATTAAACCAAGGGGAAATCAAGAAACTCAACAACGTGTCAATAAAAGGCCTGTTTTGCTTGAATATCTCCTAAATAAAAATCATCAGTTCTGCAAGTAGTCAAATTTAGAAGTGACTATGAAGGTAACATGAAGGCATCACTCTGACGCCTGATGTATGTGACTGCCTTATTACAGTGGAATTGCAAACACTTATCCAAGGAGAAATCCTCAAGTATCTTTAACTAAAAATGAGGAAATGATAGAAAAGTGCTAAGGTAGAGCCCGAAGGCAGAAAACTGACAAGACTTGGAAAACAAAAGAGTTTTGTCAAGTTCCAACTCTATGTACCTACTGATATAGTTCCTTATCACATCCAACTCTACTACTAATGGAGATACTAACATGTAATCGTGGGCTATAATGTAAATATTTTCTCAGTGACATTTCTAGTCTTAAAACTGTCAAAGTCAGAGCAATCAACAACTACTTTGCTGAAAATATTTTATTCAAAGATGTAGCTTGGGACAAGGATAGATAACTGTTTGTTCAAGTGTTTATTACTTTTGCTTTGCCCTGGCTAATGCAATAGGTATTAAATTTTGTTGTTAGTTGCTCTCAGGTTGGCTTTGATTCATAGAAATCCTCTGTAGAACAGAACAAAACACTCCAAATATGCACTCTCCTCTGACTCATGACTTTGTCTCTGTGAAGGTAAAAATTATTTTTAAATACTCTAATTTGTGAAAGGAAAAGTTTACTTTGAAAGGCTTAGATCTATGCTTCATAGATTGTTATGGCAGCAAAAAGTCTAACAGCAGAAATTGATAATATTAGTAAGAATGACAAGAGAATCAGAATACACCATCTAAAAGAGAGAGGAATAAAGCTGATGAGCTCTAGTCAACATGGATTTAAGATTACACATTTCAAAAGTTTGTGTTCAAGTATATCCAAAGTACCTGCCTAAAAGCAAACATTTTCCTTGGCTGTGAAGACCTAATTTCAACGGTGAACAATTCCAAAGGATAACTAAGATTTGGGCATTGAAGACAGACACATGGACACATATACGTGCTTTCTTAAAAGACTATGCCTAGAAATCTTATATCCGGCACTCACAGGTGATAATGAGATTAAAGATACAGAGAGAAAGCATCTACTTTTGTTTTCTCTGTGGTGAGATTCTTGTCCTTTCTGAGAGGAGAAGGCAGATATTCCAAGAGGTGTTATAAAAATACATATGAGAAAAGTAATAGTGAAGTGAGAGGGAAAGAAGAGTCAAAATAAGAGAATGTGAAAGACAGGAAGATATATCCCAACTTATTCTCTCTTCCTATGATACTTCATGTTTTAAATGACAGATGCAGCCCTGAATGTGCTTACTTACCAGTCTATGCCGGGATATTTGGAGGACAGCTGCCTGACCAACTGACAGAAGAGATCTGTATGTATTCCCATTCTCAAGAAAGATGATCCAACAGAATGTGGAAATTATAGAGCAATATCATTTATATCACGTGTAAAATACTGAAGATCATTCAAAGATGTCTAGAACTGCTGAAAAATCATTCAAAGATGTCACAGATAGGGAACTACCAAAAGTTCAAGCTGGATTCTTAACAGGTTGTGGCACTTATTGTCGATGTCAGATGGATCATAGCTGAGAGAAGAGAATACCAGAAAAAAAATGTCTATTTATGCTTTATTGATTATTCAAAGGCATGTCACTGTGTGGATAATAAATTATGGCTAACACTGACAAAAATGGGAATACCAGAACACTTAATCATGATTGTATAAAACTTACACCTAGACCAAGAAGCTGCTGTGTGAATAGAGCATGATTTAAAATTGGGAAAGGTGGGCATCACGGTTGTATCCTTTCTCCTTATCTATTCAATCTGTATGTTGAGCAACTTATTAGAGAAGCAGTGCGATTGGCCCAGGATAGAGCAGGGTTTAGGGCTGCTGTACATAGGGTCGCTATGAGTCTCAAGCGACTCGACAGCACATAACAACGTGAAAGGAATGTGACATCAGGACTGGAGGAAAACTCAATAACCTGCATTATACAAATGATATAACCTTGCTTGTTGAAAGTGGAGGACTTGAAACACTTGCTGCAGAAGATCAAACACTGTAGCTTCAAAAATGGATTGCATCTTAACATCAAGAACACAATAATATTCACCACTGGACCAACAGACAAAATCATGAAAGATGAAGATTGAAACTGTTATTGATTTCATCTTACTTGGATTCACACACTAGACACGAGCAGTCAGATCAGGAGACTTACTGCACTGGGGAAATTTTCAGTCAGGGACCTCTCCAAATTACTGAGGAGCAAGGATGTTAGTTTGAGGACTAAGGTGCACCCGATTTAAATAATGGTCTTTTTAATCCTCTGCTATGCATCTGAGAGCTGGACAATGAATAAAGATGACACAAGTACTAATGCCTCTTGAGTTGTGGTGTTCAAGATTAATGAATATCCTATGGACAGCCAAGAGGATAGATATATCTGGGAAAGGGTTAAGCCAGATTGCTTCTTGGAAGCAAGGATGGTGAAGCATACTCTCGTATACTCTGGACATGTTGCTAGGAGATGCTATTATTTGGAAAAAAATATCAGGCTTAGAAAGGTGGACTGCCACAGTGACCACAGCAATGGGCTCAAATATGTCAGAGACATGGTTTAGATTTACTCTTCATAGGGTTGCCAATGAATCATACTCGACTCAACAGTACCTAGTATTAATAATGATGCCTAAAGTGTAAAAGCAAACATTCTGTACATGAAGTTACCAAGATTATAATATTTTTATATAAATAATGCACAAGTACAATTTTTTTATAAACCATGAAACTTTTAAGGGTAGTTTTTAAATCTCTTAAATATTTCTGTCTTCTTTCGGACTACATGGTAGGACTGTCTTTCATTGTCTCATTAAGTATAGCCATGTGACTTGTCCTGGTCAATGAAATATGAGCAGACATGTTAAAGGAGCCACTATTCTCTACTATCAACATTCCCATCAAGGTGTTAATAAAAGCTCATGCATGTTCATCAGCCTGGTTTCCTGAATGTCTGTGGTGTAAAGAAGGCCCATACCAGCCTGCACTGAACATGTAATTAGTATGAACTTTTTCTGTGTTAAACTGCTGAGATTATTTGGAGGAAAGGAGACTAATTAATCCAGCATAACCTAGTTGAAATAAAAAACCCATTTTAAGAGATTATGAACAAAAGCTCTTAGGTTAAATAGTTTTTTAAAATGGGCTAGTACCTTGTATGTTGATTATTATTGGCTTAGAGGTTAGCAAAGTATTTTCAGGCAGATGTGTAGAAAAGAATTAGTCTGCATAGACAAATGAAAGGGTGCAAGAAAATTTCAGAAAACAGGGACTTGTAGGATTGAAAAGGCAATTGTTTCAAGCTCAAACTATTAAAGATAAAATTACAAATTAAAACACTGTGAAAGGCTCAGATTATATTAAAGTATCTCAAAGCAAGAGTTCAAATAAGGAAACAACATCCAGTAAATCCTTTCTCTTGGACAAAGTGGCTTCTGGAAAAGCACTCAAAGCTATGGCTTTCCCCTCAGTATCTGTCAAGTTGAAGCTACTGGCAATCAAATAAGAAAAGGATAAGAAAGAAAAATAAGATCCAGCAAATCTAAATTGTTCAGTGCCCATCCACGTTAACCACACCTCATAGCAACTCTATGAACAACTGATTGAAAACTTGCCCTATCCAGCACAGTCCTCATGATCTCTGCTAATTCTCAAGCTCATTGTTGAAGTCACTGTGTCAATTCATCTCATTAAGCCTCCCTTTTGCTGACCTTTCTCATGATTTTTTCCAAGGACTGGCCTCTCCTGACAGCAAACCTAAGTACTATATCTATAAAAAATTGGGAGCGAGCAGGCGGCTGTTCGGCTTCAGGAGTGGAACAATGCCTAAATCAAAGGAACTTGTTTCTTCAAGCTCATCTGGCAGTTGATTCTGATAGTGAAGTCGACAAGAAGTTAAAAGATAAAAAAGCAAGTTGCTCCAGAAAAGCCTGTAAAGAAGCAGAAGACTGGTGAAACCTCCGGAGCCCTGTCCTCCTCCAAGCAGAGCAGCAGCAGGGATGATAACATGTTCCAGATTGGAAAAATGAGATACGTCAGTGTGCGAGACTTTAAAGGGAAAGTCCTAATTAATATTAGAGAATATTGGATGGATCAAGAAGGTGAAATGCAACCAGGAAGAAAAGGTATTTCTCTAAACCCCGAGCAGTGGAGCCAGCTGAAGGAACAGATTTCTGACACTGTAAGCAAACTGTAAAATCAGAGCCATAGAAAACCTGTACTGTTCTAGTCGTTTTAATCTGTCTTTTTACATTGGCTTTTATTTTCTAACTGTTGTTTTCCAAGCTATTGTATATTTGGATTGCAGAACAATTTGTAAGATGAATATTTCTTTTTTTTTAAATGTGCATTATTAAAAATGTTCTGAGTGAAGCTAATTGTCAACTTTATTATGGGGGATTGCTTTATGCCCACCACCTAATGTAAAATAAAATCAAGTAATAAAAAAAATTGATATGTTTATCAGTACATGGAACTAACAGGAATCAAACAGAAAAGCCTAGTCAGTCAGTCACACAAAGAAATTGTAAATTAAAACTAAAGGTACCCAAATGAGATACAATAACCCTTGGGCCTTCCCCAATCTTCTATGAGTAAGAAGCAGACCAGGAAATCTACTTGGCTGACAAGAATGATTATCTTCCAATGCTTACCCTTCAGACATGGACAAATAAGGGCATTAATCACGAGCCCTAGACAACCATAAACTGATGAGTCCCTCAAAGAAACAGGTCTGAAGCTGAATCAAGTAAGAGTACTCGAAATTGGTGGCTCTCACAATGTCTTTCTCATGAGTTCAGAATTGATACAGGCTAAACTGTATTTCTCTCATTTTCCATCTTAGTAGGAATTTTTACTGCAATTTTTCAATTCTGGCTCTACCACTATAAATTGGCGGTGGCTGAAAGGGTAGAAAAATTGTACCTTTCGTCCTAGGAAGTCAGATAAAGAGAAACCGTATCTGTTCCCCACAAAGAGAGTGTAATATAATATACTACCTAGAAACTATGTTTTTAGTATGATAACTGAATGGGACTTTTGGACTATCTCCCTTAGGGAGGAAGAGTGAATTGAAAGTTGCAGCTATCAATACTGTTAAACTATTTCCAGATAACACTCTGTGGTAGATTCTGCTCTGGCCAATGAAAGTGAAGTGATATGCCATCTCCAGGTGAAAGTTTTAAAGCCAGTGCACCATTTTACCATTATTTCCTGCCTTGGCAATCATGGATGGAGCTTTCATCAGTGGGAAGCCTTTAAAAAAAGTTCTCCTGAAGACCTCTACTGGACATGATGTCTAAGTAACCATTTAACATGTTATACGACGTATCTGAGATTTGAGGTTTTCTTTTACTGATTAACATAAAAGTCTCTAATGAAAATGCTCTAAAAAGTTATCACCGTCATTTTCAGAATCTTCTCTTAGATCTACACTTATTAGGAGTATCTCTAAGTTCTCTGAAAACAGGAGGAGCATGATCTTGGATGCATTACTTTATTCTGTGCCCCAATTTCTTTTATAAAACTGTACTAATTGTCTCATAGTGTTGGGGATTTATATTTATATATGTTTTTATATTTTTTTTCTTAATACAGTGCCCTAGCACATAGTAGGAACTCCTAGTGTTTGCTATTATTATTAATACCTACCAAGTTTGCTGTAGATTCAGTTGTGCTATAAACACCTGATGTTTCATAGTCTTGCTCTAGAGGTTAAAGACAAAGTAAAGTAAAAAAATATTATTTTATAGTTTGAAATTCCATACGTAATGATGAATGTCAAATTATATCTAACTCTCACTGACCTGAAGGATAAATATATTCTTCATGGTATCCTCCTAGGAAAAAAAAAGATAAGACAGAAGTTTTAACTAAATCTGTCCAGCTGAGCAAATGAAAATGCCCAGGACCTGCTCTTTTGCAAGTTTTGTGGTCATATATGCAAAACTAAAATGTATACATCTTTAAAATAACTGATTTCTGCTTTAGACCATTAGATGATCATTAGATATTGAAGCTAGAGATTGGCTGTAAATAATTAAAATACTGTTTTATTAAACCTCTGAAAATTCCCTTATTTCATCCTAGTTCATGCAGAGGTGACAATCTCTCCAGTGAGGCAGTTAAACATAATGGCTCTGGAGGTAGCACTGCCAATGTATGAATTCTGATTGAATGATATTAGACAGATTACTTAATTTTCTCACTGTAAAATTAGAATAGTACCTAGATCTTACAGAGATTTTTAAGATTATTAAACAAGTTAATGTGTAAAAAGCACTTAGAACAGTGCTTGATACATGATAAAAACTCAGACGGTAGTTATGAAGTATTTGTAATATTACCCATAGTTTATTTAAGTGGACATTAAAAGCATGTATCTATCATGCTTTGCCTGTTTTTTAGCCAGTCTGAGGTAAGTAATCAATTTTAAAGCAATGTCTGTGCAGTGGAGTAACAATTTAAAGCAGACATATCATTGAAATGCACAGAAAGTCAATTCTTAATTAGGCAGCTGCCACTAAAATGTCACAAGTCAAAAGTGGATTAAGTTTTTAAACAATCAACCACAGATGCATGCAATATGGTATAAAGTGAGAACAAAGAAGTGAGTCCTCCAAATATGCCATTATATGTGAGCAAGTACATCTGAAACTCTCCATAGTGCTACAGGGAAAAGACAAAGAAAAGAGTAAATTTTCTTGAATAAATGTATGTACATGCATAATAAAATCTTCACAGACCACTCTTGCTAGATTTTTTGGTCCTCATTAGGTTTATAGAAGTATCTACTGTCTTCCACATAAACAGCAGAAAGTATATAAAAAATAAGGAACCTGTCAAATCCACAGCTGGTCTGTTAGAGCAGGAGGGACAATCTCCTCCTGTACCAGTCGAATCTGATTCGACAGCACACACACACACACACAATAATAATAAAAAAAAGTTAGAAAAAAAAGACTACAATTAAAAATAAGGAACCTGACAGATAAATCTTTTAGATTACAAAAGTCATTTAGAGTATTTTACCTTCTTAAGGCATTTGATTCCTCCATAATTGTTTCAGTATGCATATACAATTTTAAAGTAAAATGGTAAACACAATGAAAAACCCATACATCCTCTGATGGGAAGTAATAGAAATGTCAAGGGTATATATATGCTTCAGAGTCAGACAAACTGGGCTCAAAGTTTATCTCTGCCAGTCATAAAGGAAAATATACCATTTATAAGAAATGTATAAATCAGGAAAACTGACAGAAACAGAAAGAATATTAAGTGGTTACCTGAGTGGGGTTTGGAAAACATCAATAGTGACAGCGATACAGGGTTTGTTTTTGGTATGACAAGATACTAAAACATTGATTATAGTGGTAACTGCAGAATTCCAGGAATACACTGAAGCCATTGACTTGTATACTTGAAATATACAAGTGATCTGTATGATATGCAAATTAAATTGCAGTAAGGCTATTATTTAAAAAGTTTAACCTGTTATATATCAAGGATATGCCCTTAGACACTGATGGGCATAATACATTCCCTAAAGTCACACTGTAAGGATATTAAATTATGAACTTCTATTACTTTTAATATTAAATTATGAACTTTTTAATTATAAAGTACTTATTTCAGTGACTGACACACAGAATTTAATAACCAATAACATTTATAGGTCAAGAAGAATTTTCTGGGCACTTATTTTATAGTATATTATAAAATATCACCCAACCCATTGCCATAGAGCAGACTGCAACTCACAGCAACCATGTAGAGCAGAATAGAAATGCCCCTTACATGTAGTTTCCACGGCTCTAAGTCTTTACAGATGCAGACTGTCTCATTTTTCTCCAGTGCAGCAGCCGGTAAGTTCAAATTACTGACAGTTTTTTTAGCAGCCAAATACCTTAACCACAGCACCAATAGTCATAGTCATACATATGGTGAAGCAGTCAAAGTCATACAGATGGTGAAGATAACTGGTGGATATGCACTCGGCTGCTAAGAGAAAAGTCGGTTGTTCAAACCCCTCAGGAGAAAGACACAGCTTTGGAAATCCTATAGGGCAGTTCTATTCTTTCCTATAGGGTCCCTATAAGTTGGAAGGACTTGAGGATTACAGTATGGTTTTTTCTTGTTGAGAGTGTTATGAATATACACAGCACGATATAAACTAATAGTTTCTATGTGTAAAGTCAGTGAAGGTGATTACATTCTTCGAGTTGTGCAACTCTTCTCACCTTCCTTTTCTGAGTTGTTCCTTCCACATTAACATAAACTCAGTTCCCTTTGTTTCCTAACTTTGGAGTTAAGTTGATCCAATATAATCCTCCATATACAGTTCTCATAACAGCACAATGCCCAAGAGTTGGATTATTTGGGAAAATAAAAGGAGTTTTCCATCCAAAAACTTTATGAAAACTCACTTTAGTATGATAAAAAAAAGTGTTACCTATTAAAGACATATTTTGCTACTTTGATGTGCTGAAAATTTGTTTCTTATTCACAGTGACATGTAGATCACAGCAGAACTGCCCCATTAGATTTCCTAGGCTGTAATCTTTATGAGTAGATTAAAAAAAATTCTTTTTTCCACAGAGTTGCTAGTGGGTTTGAATTTTAATCAGTAGCTGACCACATAGCTATTATGTCACCAGGTCTCATAAAGGCCTATGAAGAGAGCTGAAAATAAGTTATAGCAATGTAGTAGCCTACTGAAATAGAATTCTGTCCTCTTGAAATACCAAAACATTTTGAAATACATAGCAAACATTTAGACAAGAACTGGTTAACTTCTCAAAAGCTACTAAAACTGAGAATACAAATTACTACTAAAATGGAGAAACCAAATTGAACACTTCAAAGTCCTAATGTACTAATGCTACAAAAATAATTTTTTTAAAAAAAAATCTTACATATATAATTTTTTAAACCCTAATTGACTCACCATTGTCATTGTGGCCATCACTTTCTTCTAAATTTAAAGTCTGTTTGTCAGAACCATGTCCTTGTCTTGCAATACAGTATCCTGAAGAAGCAGGAACCATTGTGGAAGGGCCAGCTTGGTTCTGTATCAAAAAGACAAGAATATGCTCTGGTAGTGCAGTCCATAGGGTGCTACACTGTCAACCCTCTCTTTCTAGCAGTTTGAGTCCAGCAGTAGCTCTGTAGGAGAAGATCTCCTCCCCTACAATT